GGCTCCAGTGAAGAGCTATTTTAAAAGTGGAACAGAGATGACAAAGTAGGACCGACCTCCCCAAGGAAGCTTCTGCAACCTCCTTCCCGCAAGTGAGAATCGTGGAGGAGCCCTCCTCAACATGGGTGCTTTTATCCCTAGCTCCCCGCCATCACCCTTCTGAGTCATTGGCCCACCACCTCCACCGCCACTAATGACCAGGTAAGTTCAGTTACCCAAGTATATCTTTGATGCTGGCATGGTTTTCATAAGTTCCAAGCACGCTTTGATTGTCTGTACCACCATTGGTCATGCGGCCAGCTGCTCTGTGTGGGAGAGGACTACAGAGTTTGGGGTGGTCCGTTTCACTGTTGATCTGGAGCTCCTTGCTCCCCTTCTTGGAGCCACCTACATAATGATACAGCACTCAGGATCAACAGGACCCCAGTGCCAGCTAAGGCCATCAACAGACCTTGACCAGGAGAGTGAACGACTCCAGGGGACAGGGCTGGTAGACTGGTAAATGTCAAACAATGGTACCTCTGCTCCCCAAACAGATTCTGTTTTTAAGGTAGCATGCAAAGAAGTGTGCTTTGTTAGGGCATTTCTACACACACACACACACACACACACACACACACACACACACACTTCATTAGACTCTGTCCTCCATCCCCCTCCCTCAGCATCCCCCTCCTCCCCTGCTCCTCCCATGCTGGTCCCTTCTTCCTGCCAAGAGCAAACTCCCTTCTGCTTTCGGATCATATGTATTTTATCATGCTTTCTGGATTTTCCCTTCCTCCCTGCTCCCTTAAGAGAGCTCCTCCATTCTCACTGGCTCCTTTCGTCACACACACACACACACACACACACACACACACACACTTAATCTTATTTTATTTATTTTTAAAAATTATTTATTTTTATTTTGTGTGCATTGGTGTTTCACCATGGGTGTCTGGAACTGGAATTACAGTGTGGTTGCTGGGAATTTAACCCAGGTCCTCTGGAAGAGCAGCCAGTGCTCTTAACCGCTGAGCCATCTCTCCAGCCCCACACTTAATTTTAAATCTAGAGTCTGCATAAAGAAAAATGTGTGATCTTTGTTTCTCCAAGTCAGACTTAGTTTATTTGACACAATGAGTTCTAGCTGCATCCATTTTCCTACAAATGCATTGATTTCATGTTTCCTTGTGACTGAATAAAATCCCATTGTACACACGGACACAGTTCGTCCCTTCATCACTTGATGGGCATCACGTGATTTCATATCTTGGCTATGATGAATAGTTCAGTAATAAACATGGATGTGCAAGGCATCTCTTCACAGAGACTTGGCATCCTTCAGGCACACACTCGGATGTCGCTGAATCGTGCAGTAGTTCTACTTTTATTTTTGAGGAAGCCCACACTGACTTTCATATCAGCTGCAACCATTTGCACTCCCATCACCGATCAATGCATCCCTTCTCCATATCCTCACCAGCACTTGTTATTACCCTTTCAATGGCAACAAGTCTGGGTGAGACGGGATCTCAGAGAAGTTTCAATTTGCATTACCCAGATGGCTAAGGATGTTGAACACTTCCTCAAATATTTATTGGCCATTTGTAGCTCTCCCCCAAAAACCAGCTGTGCATTGGCCCGTGTATTAATTGGATGTTTTGGGGGCTTACATGTTCAATTTTTGAAATACCCACTATTAAACCCTGTCCGGTGTGTACTTGGTAAAGATACCCCCCCCCCCATTCTGCAGCTTGTTACTTCATGCTGGTGACTGATCCTTTGGCTGTGCAGAAACATTTTCATTTCCTGTAATACTTTTGTCAATTTTTGCTATTTTCTGAGCTATTTGAGTCTTTTCCAGAAAGTTCTTACCTCTGCTTTACTCAGTGCTTTCCCCTGGAGGCACTCACTGTCAGTGTTTCAGGCCTTACATGAAGGTCTTCCATCCAGTTTTTTTGCAGAGTGAGAGAGGCAGATCTAGCTTCATTCTTTTGCACGAGGAAACCTAGTTTTGCTCTCAATGTTTGTTAAAGATGCTCTTTATGTTTATTCTATTTTTTTACAGTATACATTTTTGACACCTTTCAGAAATTAGGCACCTATGCTATATAACTTGATTACCGGCTCTCCTTTCTTGGTCTGTTGTTCCATGTGCTTGCTTTTGTGCTGGTACAGCACTGTCTTTGTGACTATGGTTCTATGGTATAATTTGAGGTCAGGATTACTCTAGCTATTCAGGGTTTTTCATAATTCCATTTGAATTTTAGTATTTTTTCTAGTTCTATGAAGAATATGATTGAAAAAGAGAGGAACATGACTGAGGAAAAATGACCTTTGGAAAAGCAAACTGATTCATTTTAATTTTCTAAACTAGGTATCTCACACTAAATACAACAGCATTTACATTTTATTTATTCATTTATTTTTTGCATATCATGTATGTATGAGGTGTTTATGTATACAGATGTATGCATGCCACAGCATGTATGTGTAGGTCAGGGACAACCTGGAATGTTGGTCCTTGCCTCCCACCTTGCTTGGAGCAGGGTCTCTTGTTGCTTGCTACCGCAGTGTGTGATCTAGGACCTCTCAGCTCACCACAGCAGGCTTGGCATTACAGTCGCACACCCCCCGCATCCAAACTTTACATGTATTTCAGGGATCTAAAAGCCTTTTATCAGGTTTGAGCAGCAAGTGCTTTTATCCACTGAGCTTTTATCTCCCTGACCCAGCATTTAACTCTTGAAATTGTCTTTCCTCTGACAGTTTTTCCAATATCCATAAACAAATTACTCACACTGTCGAAACTAGAAATATGCTACATGGTTACAAAGGGTTGTGCAAAATCTTCTCTGGAATGCTTGCTTTCTGTCTGCCATTCATGGTAACAAAATAGTTCTCAAATTTCTTCGTTATTTTATTTTCTGGTTTCTTTTATAACTTGACTAATCATGCCTCACTATTATGTTTAAATTTAGAAAATAACATAAATGGTCTTTTAAGGGAAACCGTGAAACAAATGACATCTTTGTGTGTCAAGTTCTCAGTCAAGGCTGAGGTCAGGGGAAGCTGCTCAGCATCGGTTCTGCTTGCTCAGGAGGATGATGTGGCTGCGAGGTAGAGCACTGGTCACATTCTTCACCCTTACAAAGTTCTAGGGGGTACCAAAATTGGCTGTGCTATTATTTCCAATGAACTTCAGAGCTATCCAATGTATCTTCATGAACTGAACCTCCAGCTCTGCCCTGTTCCCCATGACAGCATCTAGGACACATTGTGATGAATATTGAAAAGATTTTCACAAAAGAGCAAACTCTTGGGGGTAGGAATTTAGGCAGCAGAAAGTGAGGAGGAAGGAGTGTGGGACTGGCAAAGTAGAGGTCTAGCCAAGTAAGAACAACATATGAATTAAGGATGTTGCTCCTTTCCTGGGGTTCTAATTCTGGCTTTCGGGATCTCACTATGGGCAAAATACTTAACCTTTCTGAGGCTCAATTTCCTTATCAATAAGGTTATGATGATGGTGATGGTGGCAGTGGTATTTGTGGTGGTGGTGGTGGTGGTGGTGACAGTGGTATTGTTGATGGTAATGGTGGTAGCCGTGATGATGGTGGTGGTGGTAACAATGGTGATGGTAATAAAGATGACAATGGTGATGATGATGATGGTGATGATGATGATGATGATTATTGGTGAAATAATTAAGGCCACTCCACGTAGTTAAAAGGGAGATTTATTTAGTGGAGTAACTTACAAATGAAGGGATAGGTAGGTTGCAGGGAAAGATGGAGCACAGTCTGGCAGGTGTTCTCTGAAGAATTCTGTTCAGTCTACCTCCAGTGACCAGGGTCCAGGAACCAAGAGAGGTGGCACATCCAGATCTTAGGTCTTCAGGGTCCTCTCTTGGTCCTGCCTTGTAGGTGTGACAATTACTGAAGCCTCAATGGGGGTTGGAACTTCCAGATCAAAGCTGGAATGGCTACCCACTACATCTCCTGCTTTTGTCTAAATAAGAAGGTTCTAACCTAATACAAGAGTACATACAAAGGAATGGTTATCAAATATTGTCCAGGAATAATGAAGGATAATGACCTAAATAAGATGGAACTACAACCAACGTGAACAATATCAAGCAAGAAACACATATTAAAATCCAGAGAAGTCTAGAGCATAGGTAAATGGCATGTTACAAAGATCATTCCAAAAGGTGTCCTTTCCTAAAGAACCTGAATCTAATAATTAATATGTTCTATCTAAGATTATATATATACTAATTGTAACGATAACTGTTAGTCTTCAATCCCATCAAAGACCTGAGAAGGAATATAATGGTATGTGAGAAATGGAAGATGGATGCAAGCAACTTTTCGGAGTCTTGCAAGTAGACAGAGACAGCTGGCAGCCTGGAAAGTCACTTAATGTTTCTCAGCATTGTTGGTGCATTCAAATTTGCTACAGGCCTAGAGTATCTGACAGACCATTTTCAGAAGCAGAAATTCTGAAAGACCATCTTACCCTGTCTTGGTAGAGTTCAGAAGTCACTTTTACTTGTGTCCCGCTTGTCCAGAAAGGACAGCATTCGTACTGTCGGCAGTCAAGGCAGGGGCAGTTGTTTACCCAATAGGCTATTTTGTGCCAAGAAAACAAATTTCCAAATGGAAATGTCTTAGAAGCTCAACATTCTCTCAGGATCAAATTGGTGCTGCCAGGAGCACCACATCAATTGTCTCACATCAACAGAATTCTAAGTTATTTAAATGCCATATTCTCTAGGTCCATGAAGTGTTTGAAGATTACCTGTCCATCCAACCTATGTATCTGTAAATCTGGATAACCTAACTAACATAACTATAGAGATGACAAGCATAGGTGACTATAAATCTGTAAGTCTTATCTACCTAAATAACCTAAGGACTAAGGCTTCATGTAAGCAAGGTAAACAGTCTGTAAGCAAATGTATGGTAAAAGGACGATGACTTCAAAATTGTGACAATACACAAAATATCTTTAACAGAGCCCCGCTAGCTCAGTTGGTAGAGCATGAGACTTTTAATCTCAAGGTCGTGGGTTCGTGCCCCATGTTGAGCGCCAGATATTGGTGAAATTATTAAGGCCACTCCACGTAGTTATAAGGGAGGTTTATTTAGTGGCATAACTTACAAATGAAGGGATAGGTAGGTTGCAGGATCTGGGAAAGACGGAGTGCAGTCTGGCAGGTGTTCTCTGGAGAACTCAGTTCAGTCTACCTCCAACGTCCAGGGTCCAGGAACCAAGAGAGGTGGCGTATCCTAATCTCGGGTCTTCAGGGTCCTCTCTTGGCCCTTCTTGTAGGCGTGACAGTTACCAAAGCCTCAGTGGGGGTTGGAACTTCCAGATCAAAGCTGGAATGGCAACCTACTACAGATGATGGTGGTGATGATGATGATGATGATGGTAATGATGAGAAAATGATACAATCATGACCATGACTTCTGATAACAGTAGTATCTATTTCATAGGCTTGTTGGTAAGAATTCCATGAGAAAATATTTGAAACACTTAATGTTTTGACACAAAGATTCATGGCGGTCACCTCTTGTTGAAGGGAGAGAGCTTTGGGTTTTGAATGATGAATGGCTATTGCAGGAAGGCTATGAAAGAGAAGGATATGGGCTGGGTTGGGTGACAGAGGCCCCCAGAGAAGCAGACCTCTGAGACACCATCTAGTTCCAGGTATTAAGCTTAGGTACTGGAATGGGGCTCTCAAGTTACCCTCGGCCCAATTTTAACTCATTTGTCTCTTAATATTTGTAGTTACTTATTACACATTTGCTCATTTATTTTGACATTGTTTAATGGCACCCATTCTCTGCACGGGACTCAGAACCAAGGACATGAAGCTAAATAAGATGAATATAGACCCTGCTGTCATGATTCTTAACATCTCAATAATCAGTAAGTGTATAGACATTCATTCTGAGGTATGACTGAATGGATCCTGGAATTTCCACCTCCAGCTGAAATTAACAAGTCCTGAATAGAATAAAGTTCTCTAAGAATTCATTGATGGACTGGAAAAAAATTAGACTTGTACACTGGGTTGAAAAGTAGCCTCCAAAACCTCATGTCAAGCACAACCCATAAAGATGACTTTCTGTAGAAGTGGAGACTTGGAAGCTGTAAGTCAGTTCAATTGGGGTCATATGGGGTAGAATGGTTGGCTCATTATAAGAAGAGGGAAGATGGGTGGATGGAGACTCGAACACAGAGGGAAGAGGCTGTGTGAAGCGGGGTCTGGAGACTGGCATGCTGCTACTGCCATAAGCCAAGAACAGAAAGAATGGCTGGCCACCAACAGCTGGCAATGTCCAGAAAGAATGGCCACTTCAGAGAGACTAGCCCTGCCAATCTGGATTTTAGAGTTCCATCAGAACTGAGAGAATAAAATGTTGCTGTTGCTTTGAACCACTCAGGTTGTGGTGGCCCTAGGGCATGAATATGACATTTTTAGAGATGTAGTAGGGAGAATGGGAGCTATAAGAAGCAATGTCTACTCTGAGGGCATTGGCTAAGCCCAGGAGAGCTACAACCTCAGTGCCCATTGCTCCAGAAGACACACACACAGGAAAAAAAAAAAAAAAAACAAACAAACAAACAAAAAAAAAAACAAGAGACAAAGCCAGGGAAACCCAATGTGATGAGCTGAGGAGCCTTTCACTTGGCACCCAAAGGCAGGGCCATGAGCCTATGGATAAGCGAGCATTTAAGCTGGAGGGAGTCTGTCTCCACACGGGGGCTGAGGGATGGAGATTTGTAGGCATGTGTTAACCAACAGCACAGCTGAAGTCTGGGTGGATACAAGCTGGACAGTCTGAGAACTCTTCATCTGGGAACTGAGGTTAAAGAAGCCTGAGTGTGGTAACCACCTTACGCATCTGTGGAAAAATATGCAAATCTGTACAGGTCTATTCATCATCAGCCAAGCCTCAAAGCATTTCTGCAAATAAGCAAAGTTCTAAATAATAGGAAAATCACCTTCAGAAACTAAAAAGTATGGAAGGAAGCAAGGCAAGGTGACCAAAGAGGAATCAAAACCCTTAAATGCTTGAATGAGCTACAGAGAGCAGTTATTCAGCTATCCACTGTAGAGAATCATGTGATTTTAGCAAGTAAGAGAAAGTTTATGAGTTACAATACATATCAAACACAAATCTATAAACAAGAAGACTTAGAAAACAAATCCAACCCCCTAGATACAAATCTATAATAATGCTAATTAAAAATTAAAGACAACTAAAGAGAAAATTAGTGAGCTAAAAGATAGTTTGGAAGAAATTTCCAGCATAAGAAAACCTCACACTAGAAATGAAGAGGAGGTAGGAAGACAGATGCACACATAGAGAAAATGTAATGTGAGGCTGTCGACAACTCTGCAGGGAAAAACAAGACAATGTTTATAATACTTGAGATATAATTGCTGAATGAATTTCAAGCCAAGATAAATAAGAAGAAACCCACAATGTGACAGATCACCATGCAATTTTCAGTACACCAAAGACAAAGAAATAAAGCCAGACGACTTTCAAAGGGACAACAGATTGGAGTGACAGATTTCTAGAGAGTAATAAAGCCAGGAGCCAGTAGAATGATAACTCCAATAAACTGGTAGAAAATAAGAGTCAAATAAAATGATAGCTCCTATCATAAAGATAGATAAAGATAAAGAAAGATAGTTTTTAAGAAGGAGAGCAGAGTAGGGTCATTGTCAGATAAGGGGGACCAGCATCACTAACAGGATTATCATGCACGTACTTCAGAAAGAGGGATGCCATTCCACTGATGGTGCAGAACTAAAAAGTAACCACAGGTGAAGACGGCGGAAGACACAGGCAAGTCCTAACAAAAGTTGAAGCAGTCATATGAAGCCTCCAGTAACTTCTTGGAGGCTTAATTATTTTCTTAAGATGAATCTAATATGCATAATATATCACTTGAGAAGACTCACTGAAGCTATGCAGGGCCCTTGAGTGTTTAAGATTTTAAATAGTGGGTTTTCATATTATAGTTTATTTCTAGAGAAACCACAGATAGAAGGGCTGTATAGATGTAACCAACCGTTTTATTAAATAAGAAACACAGAAATAATGCAAAAGAGAAAGCCGAGAGGTCAGAGCTCAGAGCCAAAATCTCACCCTTCCGCCTGCGGTGTCCCAGCTTCCCGAATGAGCGCTCTCTTTCCTGTCCATTCGTCTATTTAAAGAGACAGAACAAGCCACAGCTATCTCACCTCACCAGTTCCTCAGCTGGTCCTGTTTCCTCAGACTGGAAGCTTCTGTGTCCTCATCCCAATAGCTCTCAGCTGAACTGTGTTGCTCCAAAGCCTGAAAGCTTAACCAGCCAAATGCTTCTAGTTTCTGGTCCTCACGCCTTATATATCTTTTTGCTTTCTACCACCACTCCCTGGGATTAAAGGCGTGTGCCACCACCGCCACACTCTTGCAATGGCTCTAATAGCTCTGACCCCCGGACAACTTTATTTATTAACATACAATCAAAATCACATTTCAGTATAATTAGATTACCACCACAGGGCTGTAAAACAGATAATGAACAGACTAGAAGAGAACGTAGCTTAAATATAAAAACTACTAAACAATAACCCAAGGAAAGGGAAGAAGAAGAGAAGAGAAGCCAGGGTAAATGGAAAGCTCAAAAAAATCAATAGAATAAACACAAATATACCAATACCTACATGGCCTGAAGGAGATGGGCAGACCAGCTTACCAACTCCCAAGTTCTCATTATGGACTTCTCAGATTTTTAAAAATAAATTCAACTACTCTTATTTATAACAGACACACTAAATTACAGGGAGACAAGGTAATTAAAAGCAATAATTTGAAAAATATACGCCAGGAAAATATTAGACAAAAACATAGCCTTTAATTAGTAACAGATAAATTAGTCATAAGTCAAGTAAGTATAAAAATGCCTCTGGGCAGAGGAGGCTACACATAACACCAGCAGTACCACACAGCAGGCAGATGTACCCATCAGCCAGACTTTAAAATAGCCTAAAAATGAGTTCCACTACAAAAAACAAATATCCATTAAGATAGTAGGAGGTTTTTAGTGTTCCCATTCCATTAATGACAGGACCAAACAAATGGTTAATTTCACATCCAGGGCAAAGAAAATACAAAGTAAAATTAAGATACAGTATCAAAAAATATGGAAGTACTTGCCCAAAGGATGGAAGGAACATCAAAATAATACAAGGGGCTAGAGAGATGGCTCAGCGGTTAGCGGCACAAATGGGCTCACAATCACTTGTAACTCCTGCTATGAGATGGTCTTTCTGTACGCTGTAAATATGTGTCGCTCTCATTGGTTGATAAATAAAGCTGTTTTGGCCAATAACCAGGCAAGATACGGTTAGGCAAAAAAATCAAGCTGAGGACTGGGATGATGAAAAGTGGAGTTGGACAGACACCATCCACCCAAGGAACAAGATGCCAGAGAACCGGTAAGCCATGAAGCACGTGGTGATAAATAGATGAATAGAAATGAGTCAATTTAATTGTAGGAGCTAATTAGCAATAAGCCTGGGTCATTGGCTAAACATTTATAATTAATATAAACCTCTGCGTGATAATTTGGAAGCAGCTGTGGAATGGTCAGGACAGAGAAAAGCCTCCAGTTACATATGATGCTGAATGTGGGGCAGGAATTTCCACATAAGACCTGAGAAAGCTTTTTAAAAAAGGGTTCTAGAACATATAAACAGAGCCAAAACCAGCTTCCTAGTTGTGTCTCTTATGCGAGCTGCAGGACGGAGACGTGGGCTTGAGCTACAGTTTGAAGGATTCCTGCCACTGTACACATAGGCATCTCCAAGCCACACAGTGTGCCGCATGGCAGATTTAGCCTTTGCTCATACAGACAAAAAGGTTACAGATACACAGTAAAAAAACAGATTCGACAAAAAGACCTCTAAACAGGTTACAGGGTGTTTAAAAGAAAGTGACTAGGCTTGGGAGAGAGAAGAAAAAGGGTAAATTAAATAATAGTAAAGTCCTTTAAAAAGGAATGGAATACAGCTGGGTGGC